TGCTGAAGGGAAGAGCTGCTGGCACATTAGTGCGGAGAGCTCTGGCCTCTCTCGGGAGCACAGACCAGATGACTTTTCCCTGCAGCAAGGGATTCTTTATCATGAGTCCCAAGTGAGAAAGCAGGGGCTCTCCCCTGTGCTGAGCTTCGCTCCTGCAGACCTGTAGCCTTAGGGTAGAAGAGCTACGGAGGTCATAGTTTGGGGGGGCAAGGGCTGCTTGAACAATCCCTTGTGCTCCTAAAATCTGAACAGCAAATCATCGTCAGCATCACCGCCCAAAGGCACGTGCTGTTGTGGAGCCAGAGACCTTGGCGTCACGCTGTGACAGCGATGGCACCACGGCCAGGGCGGCTTGGGGAGCCAGCGGGGCCGGGGCTGCACTGGGGTGCCTGGGAAGCACGAACACGAGCCAGCTGGGAACTCAAATCCACAGCATGCGGACTCAGTCACCCGCTGCTAGTTGTGAAATCAGGGGGAATTTTTCAAGGCAGAGCAAGCTGACACCAATTAATCGCTCATTCTCCTGTGCCATCCAGCCGATGCCGTACAGCAATTGATTAAATTCCCACTCGTTGATCTTGCAGTTACACTGAAATGTCTCAGTCCTGTCTAAAGCGGAGGAGTGATGTGCTCAGGGTCAGCTGGGGAGGAGAGCACCCAGGTTAGCAAGGAGAAGAGTGCAGGCAGCTCTGCTGCTCGCTCCGGTCCCCCCTGCCCAGTACCAGTGGGACAGACCCCAGGTCCGGGTGAGGTGGCAGAGCCACCGCCGGTGCTGGCAGCGGAAAGCTGGTGGTGGCTGCATTTGCAGAAGGAAAAATCCCGCTGCAGAGTAAAGCTCTGCTGCGTTATAAAACATGTAATGAAAATTTTAAGATGCGTCAGTCAAAACCCGAGGCTGGAGGTGTCTGGCACAGGGTGGCTCTGGTGGGACAGGAGCGGCCCCGGCGATGCCCAGGGCGCCTGTGCCACCCCCCGGCCCTGCTCACCATTTGGGCACGGCTGCAGAGTGGGATCTGTTTATAGGGCATCCAGCCCCTGTAAAACTCGGTTTATAGGGAAGTAAAAGGAGTCGTACGTCGTTACTTTGCATAGCAACGTGTAAATTGCCAGGCAGGTGCTGACCTTTGCTGACGGAGAGGGAGAAAAAGGAAAAGGTGTGGGAGGGATGGAGGGAGAAAGAGAAGGGAAAATCAGGGGGAGAAGGCAACCAACAGTGGAGAGGGGAAGGCAATGACTGAAGTGAAGAGCAACCTTGTTCTCCCATTGGGGTTTTTTCCAAGTTTTCCACCCCAGGTACAGTTAAGACCAACACCAGCAGCTCGGCATCAAGGTCAATAGCCCGGGAAGGTGTTTCCTGGGCAGCAAGCGCCCGCTCCCGTGGTCCTGCCTGCACCCGGGAGCCGGGATCGGCAAAGCACCTTGAGATTCAATAATAAACAGTCAACAAGAATCACTGCTGCTCCACCAAAAAAAAAAAAATGAGCTTAGCAGTGTTCCGCAGTGGGTGAGATCATTAAAGATTAACCCCCTGCCTCCACCCCTCTGGGCAGTATAGGCCTTGAGGCTCAGCAAATCCTTTCAGAGAAATATTTGAAATAAAAGACAACAGATAGGGGACGCAGTGAAGGCAGAGGGAGGCAGAAGGGCCAATAGCCTCGGACAAGGGAATCGGTACAATCTGGCCCGTGTTTGCTGATGATAATGCGCCTTTCCAAAGCCCTAATAGACATGGAGATGGCAGATTATAGCGCAGCGCTAGACCCGGCATATACCACTCTGGAGTTTGAGAACATGCAGGTGCTGGCTATGGGCAACGGTAAGTCCCCTCCACCTTCTCCCCTCCGCAGTGGCAGGACGAGCTGGGGGTTGCAGGGGGACAAGTCCCTGGGGCGGCCGCTGAAATGTTCCTGGGGAGGGCTGGGGCACAGCGGGGGTGTCAGCCGCGGGGCTCCCAACAGCTCACAGCGGGGTTTCTGCTTCCCCCCGCGTGAAATGGAGGTGGCGGGACAATGCTGGGCTCGGTATGGGCAGGATGGTGCCCTGCAGCCCAGACACCTCAGGGATGGGCGCGCGCCAGGAGCTGGGCGCAATGAGAGGTCCCCACCAGGCATTCAGCCCAGGGACTGGGGCTGAGCACGGGGGGGTCTCACCTCCCCCAGACCCCAACCAAGAGAAAAGACAAGCTGAAAGTTTCCGAGTGAAACGCTGCCAATGGCTCACCGGACAGATGACCGAGCCTGTGGCTCCAGAGCCAGTCCCACCCCAGCAACAGCTGGGGCTAGGTTTTCCCAGAGCAGAAAGCAATTTAGCACCTGGCAAGGGTGGAAATCACTACAAAAAGTGATTCAGGTGCTGCTCCCGTAGCTGCCCGAGGCCATGGCCCTTCCCTGTGCAGTGCTGGGGTGCGGGGTGGCATCCCCTTCCCTTGGGAGCGCTGCGGGGCCAGGAGGCTCAGCCCGTGGGAAGAGTGGCGAGGGGACCCGGTGGGGACAGACAAGCATTCCCGTCCCCTCCGGAGGGTAGGATCACACTTAACCCACCAGGACTTGCAACACTGACCCACCCATTTGGGGACCAAGGAGTCCTGGTGATTAAATGCTCAGAGATAACAGGAGATTCCTCTCCAAGTCCCCCCTAAAGTCTCTCTAAATATGAGGTTAATGACTAAACGAAGCACACCACCCGAGCGACCCCCCGAGCCTTCTCCCCCTGCCCGCTGTGTCACCGAGGCTGCTGGGGCACCCCTGTCCTGGAAGGGCTGGGCCGGCGGTGCGGGCTCTCCCCTCTCAGCCTGTGAGGGTCTCACCCAGGTTATGGCTTTGCTCAGTCACGGACATGACAGCGTGGTGCCAAAGTGGCTCTGCTGTGCAATAACCCCCCGCTGCCCTGGGTCTCAGCCCTTTCTCTGCTCCTGGGGGCTGGTCCTACCCAGCCAGGGGTCTTGGGGCTGAGAGCAGCCCCCTTCAGCTCTGCCAATGCCCATCTGGACCCTCCGGGACAAGCCCGGGTCTCGCTCCCTCTCCGTGCCCCACTCCCACCCAGCACACAGAAGCTCTTGCACAGGGGGCTGCGACTCAGCCCCCCCGGACCACGGGCTCCATGGGACAGAGGGACACGACAATTTTATATGACAAGATCAGGTGCGATACGAAATACGCCCTAGGGATGGATGAGTCAGCTGGGTCAGGTGGCACCACCACCTCTCCTCCTCCTCTGCCCAGCTCCAGACCAGGGGCAGGTCTCGCCTCCAGGGCTGCCTTGGCACTCCAGCAGCTGCCCACACCTCTGCCTGCAAAACCTCCACCTCCTTCTCTGCAGGAGAGCTCGGCCCTGCCCAGCTCTGCAGCTCCAGCCCCGAGGCGGCTGCTCAGCACTGTCGCAGACCAAACGCATCCCATGTTCAGACAGGCTTGGGGACCTCTTGAGCTGCTCCCGTCCTAGCATGAGTCTCAGTTGCGAGGTCTCAACGTCAGATTTTTTCTTTCCTCCATTTACCTTAACTCCAAATCAATCCCATTAAACCCACTCCACTGCAGCAGCCAGAAGCCCACATTTCTGGCACTACAAAATAAACTTAATTGGAAAATTATCCATTAGGGAATAATTTAGTTGCTGGTTGGCTGTTAGACTAAGATGTTGCAATTTCTTTGATAATGGTGCCAGTTTTTCCTGTTCTATGTTCATCTGATTACAGCATGATATACTGCTAAAAAGGGATTATCTGGGCTGTCACAGATACACAAGTAATGTGATTATAGGCAGATCAGCTCTTCCTCTCTCGTGCAAGGCCTATGTTTAGCTGAAACTGGAAATCTAACTTCCTTCTGGAATGACCTTCATCCAGCCAAGCCATCGGGATGCGTTGGGAAGAAGGATGTTTACGAAGGCAAGCTGCTCGTAGGGGCAAGAGGCAGCCAGGATGGGCTCGGGAGGAGCTCGGGGCTTTGGGAGCGGAGAGAGGAGCTTTGCGCGGGCAGCGCGGTGCGCACGGAACCGTGGCTGTGCCACAGGATGTGCCGGGCAGGGACGCGGAGAGGCAGCAAACTGACTCAGAAAGAAATACAGGAGGGACGCAAGGAATTAGAAAGACAGAAAGCAGGCAGGGAAATGAAAGGTGCTGCCAGAGCCCGGGAAGGGGCTGGCTCCAGATCCCCCGTGCTGGCTGGCTGCTGGATCCACACCGGTTACTGCTGCTGAGGGACGGCACAAGCAGGCTGCGCAGCGCCTGCTGCAATACCCCTTTCTCTGCAAAATAAAAGCTAAACTTGTAGCCCTGCCCCAGGTGGCATTGCCTTGGCTTCCCCCAGCACCCATGCTCCAGCTCCCAAAGGGAGCCCTGCTGGGACCAGCCTTTTTATAGCACCCAGCCCCCTTCTGCTGGGTGCCAAGTGGGAGCAGCTGGGGCCCTCTCGGGCTGGGAGTTAACTGCGTCCCTGCAGACCCAGGGACAGGAACCAATGGAGTCAAGGATTAAAATCCCAGCAGGTTTCTATGGCTTTGTAGATCCTGGGTATCATTTGCCACTGGGATTTCCACTGAGGCAGGGGAATGCGCCTGTGCTGATACAGGAAAATGTACAGGGAGGGGACAGTTAGATCAACCGAATTAGGGGTTGATCCCTTCAGCCTTGAGGTTTGTTTGGCTTGCTGGAGGGGTTTTAGTGTAGGGCTTGGATGGCTTCGAGCCTTTCAGATGTCCTTTCCTACAGAGGCTGCTGCAATTCCCCATCCTCCCAAAAGAGCCCTGCAAGTGCCAGCCCCCCTCAGTCTGTGAGCCACATCCATCTCAGCTGCGGGGCTCCCAGACTCTGGAAGATGCCCAGCATACAGCCTCCTCCATGCTACACCATCACCCCTTCCTTCTGGGTTAGCTTAATCAGTCCTTCCTTGCATCGGTAGTTTGCCCACATGATTTTTCCAGCTGAAGTCATTTGAAGTCATTTGAATTTGTTATGCACTTGAAGTCTTGTTCTCCTGAAGAACGGCTGTGCAGGCGGGAGCTCTGTGCCTGGCAGAGAGGCTCTCCAGCAAAGGGAGCTGCTCACCGCGTTTCTCTGCTCAGGGCTGTCTTGGGCTCTTTCGGTGCTATAACACAAACGCCTCGCTAATAAATCAGCTGCTCACCCTGAGCTGTAATACCTCAGCTTTAACTTTACACCAGCTTTTTCTCTGGCCACGCTACTGCAGCCCAGAGCGTCTGCAAATCCCTGGGGAATTTTGGCTCTGCTCCATGACTCCTGCAAATGGGTGTCCGCTTTGTCTGAAGGCGTCGCTGGAGCCAGGCCTTTGGGAAGAGCTGTCTCACCCCGGCACACAGAGAGCTTTTGCACACTCAGAATGCAATGGCTTCAGACACATGAAGCACCCACCACTCCTTACACACCTCTCTGACCAGCCCGTGCCGTGCTGCCTGGCTGCAGCTGCCTGGTTCCTCCAAAAACCAAGTCTCTCACTGGAAACTGAGTTAGGAAATGTTGCCTGTCTGTCTCACTGTCTTCCCGTGTCCTTCCCCCAGCAGACACGTCTCCATCAGAAGCAGCCAACCTCAACACCTCCAACAGCATTGGGGTGAGCGCGCTGTGTGCCATCTGCGGGGACCGTGCCACAGGGAAGCATTACGGGGCTTCCAGCTGCGATGGCTGCAAAGGCTTCTTCAGGAGGAGCGTCCGGAAGAACCACATGTACTCCTGCAGGTAAGGACAGAGTCGCGTGGCTGAGACAAAACAGCCCCTAGGAGCTGAACGGCAAAGCCCTCAAAGTGCAGCAGCATGGTCCTTCATCCTCTTCATCCTCCTTGCGTCCTCCACCACCTTCCCGGACTTCACCCACCAGCTGGGAAGGGTCAGAGACCACTCTGACTCTGGGATTGCCCTCAGTGATCAGCGGGGAAAGACCCTGGGAGGTCTTGCTCCGTTCTTTAGGGGCCAAGCACATGTTCTTGCAAATGGATATGGCCAACCGTGGATGCGGCCGCAATCAAGGTAATTCTGGGGGGGAAGCCCTGTTACCGGGGCTGAGCACCTTGCTACTCGGTGCTCTGAGTGAGGCACAAACCCCACTCACTCCCTGGGGGCACTTCAGCGGCCCCCCATCCCTTCTCCATCACGAGATGGAAGTGCATCTGCCATCTCTCTAAAATGCTGTCGCTGCCTGTTACGTGATAAAAGAACATCTAAGGAGCAACAAGGTGCGCAGCGTTAGCGTGCACGTCTCTAAGGATGAGGCACCCGTGTGGCTCCTGCAACCTTTTGTCGGTGGTGGTAGCCCACGGCTCTCCCGTGCCATCAGTGGCTGTGACCTGCCTGCTCCCTGCTCTGAGCAACCCACGCGCAGAGAGTCGCAGAGGAAACCGAGGAACCCGCAGCTCAGTGTCTAAGTGTTTTTAAGTAAGGGTTTTTGAGTGAGTTACTCCTGATGGCCTGACAGCCACTCGGAGAGCAACAGGCCTCTAAAATCTGAGCGAGAGAAAGAAGCCCCGGGTTTGTGAGGGCATGTGGAGCACGTTATCACTTGCACCCCAGGGTTATTTGAGCTGGCTGCCCAGGGAGCCCCCTCCCCACAGCTCCAGTGGAAAAGCCAAGATGCCCACTTCTTTGGAGACTAGGGCTTTTGTAGAAGTGCTACAGAAATGTTTTAAAAGCTGCTTTCAGGCATCCATTTGGGCAAATCTTAGCTTGGGGCTTTAAAAAGCATGGTAGAAACAAGCCTTTTCAAAAGCTACAGAACTCAGCGCAGCTGGGAGCCCTTTCCCAGCTCTGTACGCCTTTGTCTTTACTTTGCAAGCTTGATCAATCCGCAGTAAATTAGAGCAAATCGGCAAGTGAAATTCATGCTGCACGTGGCCACCAGGCTTGTGCTGCATGCAAGAGCCACGCAAGTGGGAGATGAGCGTTTGCCCGCCATGTGCGACGGATTTGGTGGTACAAACGTGGAGGCAGGGAGCTGGTTGCATTCCCGAGCCCTCTCTGAAGTGCAGGTGGCCGCAGAGCTGTTCCCACACCAACGATGCTGTCCACAGGTCAGAGCCAACCTGCCTGGATCCCAGAGACAGCCCTGGAGAGATGCAGGGACTTAAACCCACTTCTTAACCTTACTAACTCAAGAACAACCTTCTACCCTTTTTTTATTCAGAATAAATGCATTCTTTCTCTCTTCTAACTGGGATCTAACTTACAACAGAGGCTACCAAGTTGGCTCTGACCCTCCTGGCTCACAGTTTTAACTTCACTGGGGCTTGTTAGTCCATCATGAGCATCCTATGCCCAGTCGTTAGTAAGACCAGCAGCCTGAGCTCCTGCGTGTGACTGTCAGCTCTAGCCTGTCCTTACCAAACATCCAGAGGTAGAGCAGAGGGCCAAGATGTTCAGAGCAAAGAAAAAAACCCAGGTTAAAGCAAGCGTGGAAATGGCACAGACCGGGGCTCCTTTCTCAGGGTGAGCCGCTGGGAACCCGCTCTGAGCGGATCTTGGGGCTCTATCTTGTCCTGCCTTCAGGCTCAGTCCTGCTGCTCCTCACACCTCTCTCTCTTCCCAGGTTTAACAGGCAGTGTGTGGTAGACAAAGACAAAAGAAACCAGTGCCGATACTGCAGGCTTTTGAA